GACGATTGGGGGGAGCTGGTTTGAAACCGGTTTACGGTGATCGTGCAGTGTAAACAAAACACGCCTTCTTTTGGTTTTGTCCAACTCCTCCTCCCCCCACCCCGTGGCAGGAGAAAGAGGCCTTTCCTAAACCCCTCAGACCGCCGCAGCAATCGGGGGGGGGGGCGTCACCGTTCACAAGGGCAGTGCCCGGATAGGGAATCTGGTGTCGGAAGAAGCATGGCCGGACTCGGAGCAAGAAAATGCAAGAGAGGCAGAGTCGCCGCCTTCGCCTCTTTTCCCCTATACGAACGCCCAGAGCCATCTGGTGGCCAGAAAGAGTGGAGTAGTAATCCACCATTGTCAGATCCCCGGGCCAGTTCAAGAACAAAGCAAGTCACCTCCCTCTCTCCACTTTGCTTAAAATGAAACTTTTACTGCTCCCTGACAGGCAGAATTTCAACAGGAGTAGAATGATTCCAGTGGGTAGCTGTGTTGGTCTAAAGCGGCAGAACAAGCAGGTCCTTAAAGAGATGGGAGTACCAGACCACCTCACATGTCTCTTGAGAAACCTGTATAAGGGCCAAGAAGCGACAGTTAGAACCGGATATGGAACAACTGATTGGTTCAGCATGGGAAAAGGAGTACGACAAGGATGTATATTGTCACCTTGCTTATTTAATATATATGCAGAGTACATCATGCAAAATGCTGGCCTGGATGAATCACAAGCGGGAATTAAGATTGCTGGGGAAAATATCAACAACCTCAGATATGCAGATGATACCACTCTAATGGCTGAAAGTGAAGAGGACCTGAAGAGCCTCTTGCTCAGGGTAAAAGAGGAGAGCGCAAAAGTGGGCTTGAAGCTCAACATCAAAAAAACTAAGATCATGGCATCCGGCCCCATCACTCCTTGGCAAATAGAAGGGGAAGTCGTGGAAGTAGTGACAGACTTCACGTTCCTGGGATCCCAGATCACCGCAGACTGTGACTGCAGCCATGAAATTAAAAGACGCCTGCTCCTTGGGAGGAAAGCGATGGCGAACCTAAACAGCATGATAAAAAGTAGAGACATCACCCTGCCAACAAAAGTCCGCATGGTCAAAGCAATGGTATTCCAGTAGTCATGTATGGCTGCGAGAGTTGGACTATAAGGAAGGCCGAGCGCCGAAGAATAGATTCTTTTGAACTATGGTGCTGGAGAAGACTCTTGAGAGTCCTTTGGACTGCAAGAAGATCAAATCAGTCAATCCTAAAAGAAATCAACCCTGACTGTTCCCTGGAAGGCCAGATAATGAAACTGAAGCTCAAATACTTTGGCCACCAAATGAGAAGGGAGCACTCCCTGGAGAAGACCCTGATGCTGGGAAAGATTGAAGGTCAAAGAAGACGGGGACGGCAAAGGATGAGATGGTTAGACAGTGTCATCGATGCAACGAACATGAAATTGAGCCAACTTCAGAGGATGGCGGAAGACAGGAGGGCCTGGTGGGAGATGATCCATGGGGTCGCGAAGAGTAACAAGAACAACAACAGATTTAGACTCCAGTGGCACCTTTAATACCAACAAAGGTTTATTCAAGGTATGAGCTTTCGTGCACACACACTTTTTCAACTACATTAGAATGGCAGGCAAGGTTCAAACTTTTAGCCAGAGAATAAACAGCAAATTAACATGATGAATTTGCTATTCATTCTCTGGCTATAAGTTTGAACCTTGCCTGCTGTTCTAACAGATTTGAAAAAGTGTGTATGCACAGGAAGAAGAAAAAGAGAAGAGATTGGATTTATACCCCGCCCTTCACTTGGAGTCTCAGAGCGGCTTACAAACTCCTTTCCCTTCCCCTCCCCACAACAGACACCCTGTGAGGTGGGTGGGGCTGAGAGAACTCTTGACACAAACTGCTCTTTCTCAAGGACAGCTGTGCCAGAGCTTGTGACTGACCCAAGGTCACATCAGCAGGTGCAAGTGGAGGAGTGGGGACTCAAACCCGGTTCTCCCAGATTAGAGTCCGCGCACTTAACCAGTACACCAAAGCTCATACCTCCTTGAATAGACCTTTGTTGGCCTTAAAGGTGCCATTGGACTCTAACTTTGTTGTACTGCGTCTGCCCTAGACCAACATAGCTGACCAACTGGATCTATCTTTACTTCAAGGTATAAGCTTTTGTGTGCCCTCTGAGTAGTGACCCTGGACTTCATCGCTGGTCTTTGGAGATCTGCAAACAGGCGAGCCTCGGCCAGTCTCCCCTCCAAGTACTAACCAGGCCCAACCCTGCTTAGCTGCCAAGCTAACCTGGGCCATCCACGTCAGGGCAGAAAGTTAGATACCCAGATGAGTCGGAGGCCAGTAGGCCCTGTTTCTCAGTATGAAGATGGTGTGGCATTACACTGCCACACACGGATGAAAACAAGATCCAGTCAAGACATCGTTGCTAGGGAACTCTTCCAAAGAACATTTTATCTTACCCTGCTTTTCCTCATTTTGTCTACCTGGCTTTCAGGTTTCACAAAGCCAGTGACTGTATACATTTTTGAAAGATTTATAATGCTTGCAGTTTACATGAGGCATTTTTGTTTTGTTTTTAGTGGAGCAGCAACGTGTTAGAACTTGTTCCTTTACTGTGTGGATCATTCCCAGCTGTTGATAAAGTGGCAAAGGAGGGTGAGATCAATCAACCAGTCCCAAAGCGAGTTTGCTTTCCCCACAAAAACATTGGGGCAGTCCTGGCTGTTCTCTGTGTCTTTGAACCCAAGAAGCATCACCTTTAAATAGGTGCAGAGCGCACTTGTTCAAAAGCAACTGGCAGTGTCGCACAGGAAGTGATGTCACCACATCAGCGACTTCCAGGCAATGCTCTGGTATTGGGGGGAAAGCTCTATGGTAGAAGCTGGTTTCACCTTAAGAGTTTTTGCCCAAATACCAGCGCATCGCCCAGAAGTCACTGATGTGATATCACTTTCTGTGTGACACTAGCAACATGACCTAGGCCGCCTTTTTTCTACTGATGTCCCCCCATCCCCCACCAGTTGACAATCCTAGTTGGTGTAAAGATTAAAATGGAGAGACCCTGCCTTGAGGAAAGCTGGGATTAAAATATGTAGATAGCCCAAAGGACCTTCCCAATTCAAGCTTTATGAAAGGGGGTGATGGGGGGGGGGTAGTCATCGTGCAATGGCACACAATGTCACTTCCGGCTATGTAACCAGAAGTGATGTCACCTGTTGTTCTAGCAATCTCTGGCGCCCTAGGCAATAGCCTAGGTGTGCTTAATGGGAATCCTCCAGACCCATCCTGTGTACTCCATGAATGAGCCTTGTCCACTTAACAACTAATCCTTGTTCATCGTTAAGTGTGAAAGCAACTGCTCCCAGTTTGACCAGACAGTGAGAGAGTTACAGAATTTGTTAGTTATCAGTAAATTGCTGATCCCCCCCCCCCTTCTAGTTGAAAACCTGACAGACTTGCTTAGTGATGAAGGCTAGCTACAGCATCTGAAAGGCATGCAGATATGTAGAAATGTCCACCTCCTTGCGGGTCGAGATCTCGTAACTCTGTTCCTTTTCACACAGAGCGTTTCTCCTCAGAGTTCTGCAGTACACGGTGTACACCTGCACGGGAGTGCAGAAGGAGCAGCCGTCTAAGCCTCTCTCGGCAGCCTCCAAAGCAGTAGCTGTAAGATAACTAAATGGGGTAGTCACCGAAGAAACCACACCCAAGGAAAGTGAGGCTCACCTGGAAATTCGGAGTCTTCCAGAAGATCAGAACGGGGATCTGTCCCCATTCCCGCCATATCATGACTAAAGGAATTCAGCTCTCGCAGTTTGCCGTTTTATTGATTGCCACAGGAATAAACAGAGTTGGAGAACTCGCTTTCCGAAACAGAGAAGCGATTATCAACACAGACAATACTTACGTATTCCAACCCTCGCTCCAAATATTTTTTGTAGCAAAATAACAGTTGTCTCTCTCAAAGACAAAGAATTTTCCGCCTGCACTACTTTTAGACGGGAACAGTTAACGTTTTATTGGTTCTGCATTGTCCTGGTTTTATTTTTGAAGCAGCAGAACTTTGCCCTGCCGTTTCCATTCTAATGTCATACTGCTCTATTCCACACAACCTCTGTACGAGGTGCACAATAAGCTTCCTTTCCATGTTAATCTCCCCCCCCCCCTTTCCTAGGTGGAAAACAGCCAGCTTCAAAAATACATGTTTGGGGAACAGCTGGGAAAGAAGCCAGCATCCCACACCACAGAAAGTAAGAGATCCATTGCCCTTTCTTCTAGATCCTGTGCCTGTATCAAGGGCAAAGATTCCCCCTCCCCCTTTCATGTGAAAATCATTTTTTTCTGGACGGACCATCCAAAAACAAAAAAAAATAGCCAACACAGCTGAGAATTAATACAAAGTTGTCTGAGAAGGATGGTGTACCACTTCAGGTTATGGGGTTTTTCCCCTTTCTTTTAAACACGCCCCTCTAATATATGAAAAAAATTGTAAACAGAAGGCTGGTGAATCAAAAAGGAGAATTTAATATAAACCTCAGTCTCTCTTTTTAAGTTCTCCTGTGCTAGTTTCTTATATTAAATCTTTCCTCTCAATGCGCTTTATTAAACATAAAACATCTAGTTCTCCAGACGGACTTGACATAAATCTCATTTGCTGATACACTGGATTTGTTTTAAAACTAGTATAACAGGTTAAAAAAATTATAAAAATCTAGCACATCCAGAAAAGAATTATATTAAACCACTCTTAGACCTTAGTCCTAAAAACATTCAGTATTAAGTCCCATTTTATGCATAGGGTCTTCTCTCAGGAAAGAAAGAACCTTGAATAAAATGGGACTTACTACCCAATAGACCTGCTTGGGACGACTCCCTTAAATCCTTTTTCTTGGCAAGTTAGTTCTTTATGTCTGCGCTTTCTCCCTGGGGAGCTAGTCTTCTAAGTGTACAAAGTGTTTCACGTATTAAAAGAATCAGCAATTTGAATTTGTTAGAAGCGCAGAATTCTCGTCTTTCTGCACAAATGACTCCAATTTGTCATCAGATTTCCCCCACCACATCCACACTGAAAAAGGTCATGTGTTTTTGGTGACGCTTATATTTGTGGTGAGAATGTTCCCCCATCCCCCGTTCCTTACAGAACACTAATAATATTTTGTCCCATGAATTCTCTGATGCCTAAGGAGAGTCTCTTTTTGACCGAAGCTTTCCCCGCACTCCAGACATTCGTAGGGTTTCTCCCCTGTATGTACTCTCCAGTGCCTCATCAGGGTCTCTCTCTGATTGAAGCTTTTTCCACACATCGGGCACGAGTATGGTTTCTCTCCTGTGTGAACTCTCTGGTGACGAACCAGTTTGGCTTTCTCGCTGAAGCTTTTCCCACACTGAGAACAGGAGTACGGCCTCTCCCCGGTGTGGATTTTCTGGTGCGCAGCCAGATTCCCTTTCCTTCGGAACCTCTTCCCACACCAGGGACAGTCATAAGGCTTTTCGCCAGTGTGGACCCTTTGATGTCTACTCAGTTGGACCCTCTCACCGAAGCACCTCCCGCACTCAAGGCACTCGTATGGCCTCTCGCCTGTATGGACTGTCTGATGCGTGAGGAGGTTCCCTTTCCGGGGGAAGCTTTTCTCGCACCCGGAACACTCAAAAGGTTTCTCCCCCATGTGGACCTTCTGGTGCCGAAGCAGCTTGCCTCTATCATAGAAGCTTTTCCCGCACTCGGAGCAGCCGTACGGCTTGTTCCCCGTATGGATTTTCTGATGCGCAAGGAGGTTGTCTTTCCGTTGAAAGTTCTTCCCACAGACAATGCACTTGTAAGGTTTTAAACCTGTATGGATCATCTGATGTTTTGCCAGCTGGGACCGGTAATGAAATCTTTTCCCACATTCGGGGCACGGGTGTTTTCTCTCGGCCTCCTGGGACGCACGTTTGTTAAAGGATCGCAGACCTTCCACAAACTGAACAGATCCACGCCATCTCTGTACAGCCCTCCTGCCTTGAAGCCTCTCCAAATCACCACCTCCTTTGCGGGTCTCAGGTTTCACGGATCCAGGGGATCTCTCTGGGAAGACCTCCTGTGATCCAGCCGCCTCAGGACCGCTCCACTGAAAATTCTCCACTTTGATCTCAGTCGGGGTCCTGTTATCTGTGGGAACAGGGATGGCATGCAGATCAAATAGGGGAGAAGGGGCAGAGGGGTAATGGGAGAGAAGAGAGAAGGGGGGGGGGAGAACTACGGACACAGAAAAATCAAGTCAAATTCACTAACCTCGATCTAAGAGAAGACAGAAGGTGGAACCAGATCACACACCCTTGAAGTCCCAGAAAATTAGGCCACCTGAGTATCTCCAAGTGACTCTCTCCTTCCCTTCCTCTCCCCACAACAGACACCCTGTAAGGTAGGTGGGGCTGAGAGAGCTCTGAGAGAACTGCCCTTGAGAGAACACTTCTGTGAGAACTATGGCTTGCCCAAGGCCACCCAGCAGCTGCATGTGGAGGAGTGGGGAATCAAACCCAGTTCTCCCAGATTAGAGCCCGCACACTTAACCACTACACCTAACAACTGCCTGGTGATGTCTGTTCCGAGCCTAGCCTCAGAGATAAGATACGGAGGTTAGAAGATGAAGACCTAAACTATAAAAACTAGAAATTCAAACAAAAAGAAGAAGAAAGAAGATGAAGACACAGACTACAGTTGCCTGCAGTGAGGCAAAGCACCCCAACTTTCCCCCTCAAGGGTTAATTTGAATGAAAATGGGCTGTCCACTCTGCAGGTGTTACTGACTGATCTCTTGGCCCACATAGTCCTTATCATCTTCAAGACCAGAGTTGGAAACATGGCAATTAGCTTCTCACAAGAACCTCCAGTCACTGGATGGGAGTGGGGAGGTCAGAAATAGTGAGGTAATTTTCTAGAGGATTCCGGCAAGACTGTGTGCTGACTGGGTGTCGTCACTGCCTGATGTTGCTTGACCAAAAAAACATAATGGAGTTAAGAACCTGGAGAAAAAAGCTAGCTTGGATTTTGATGGACTAAAGGCCTGAATTATGTCACACTTGAACTGCAGTTGTTAGCAACGTAGAGCACGCCCGCGCTATGGCCTGTTGACTCTTGAATTTAAGGTCTGTGCCATCTAGCGAAAGTCTTGGAAAGTGTTCGATAGTTAAGCTAGTTTTCTTGTTTTCCTCCTGTATGATTCTGTGGTGATGTGTTGCTTGTAGCTTGAACCTTTATTTTGTTAGAAACTAAACAAGCTATATAACCTTTTTATAAAACTAAAGAAACATCTGCTCATTTGTGAGCAAAAGCCCTGGGGACCCATGGGGTTCAGCCTAGGACTCCTTGACACCTGCCATGAGTAATTATGTATAGGTTAGGGTGCTGAACTGTGCAGTAAAGAAATGTAATTGGTAGATGTAGTAAATGATACTAAATATGTAGTGAATAGGTCACAGGGTAAGTGGAGAAGAAAGATAATGCTATATAATGCATGGTGTGTCTGTTTTAGAACTCTGGAGAAAATACTTTCAGTGTCTGAGTTAGGATCCCTCTGTCGTTTGAACTACTTAAATAAATTATTTTCTGCTGTCTCTATTTCAACCCCTCATGGAAGCCTCGAGAATTTCCCCCATCAAGCTAGTAGCCAAAACAAGGTAAACGGTAGCAGAAAAGCGATCCTAGAAGCCAGCCGAAGGACCCAAGACGCAAGAGGATGGTACAACAGGGAGGAGCTACAAGAAGAAGAGACACCGCCCAAAATACACGGAGAAGGCAGAATGACAAAGGGAGGGAAGGAAGTGGCATTCACAGAGCACGCAAAAGCATCTTGCTCTTCCTCCAAAAAGCTCAGAGGTTTTCCCCTCCTCTATTTGATCCTCATAACAGCCCTGTGAGATGGTGGAGATTGCATGACTGATCCAAGGTTACCCAGCAAGCCTCCTTGGCACAGTGGGGATCTGAACCCGGCTCTTCCAGACAGGGCCCAGACCTGGCCTTCCCTATGTACTAATAAAGTTAAGTTCGGTTTTGGTAATGGTTATTACAATGAGGTTTTGTGAAAGCTCATATCAAAATAAACGCCGTTTGTCTTTAAAGGTACCGCTGGACTCCTGTTTTATTTTGCTAAGACAGATATCCCTTTGCAGCCTCCCTGGTATTAAATCTCAGGGCTGTTCCCCTGCATGGATCTTGCAACTCCAGGAATAATCTTTCCAGCCAGTCAGAAAGAGCTGCAGGACCACAAAGGACTGTGGGTAAACTCTACATGCCTTCTCCGCACAAATGGCAGGAAACTGCCTTTTTTTTCTTTTTAAAGGGACACTGCTTATATTTTTTGTGGCAAGTTGAGAAGTGTGATGCAAGGAAGTATTTTGTGGCCTGGCCTCATTTATTTAGATGTCAACTTTTCTTTTTTACAAAATATCCCTTCCAACTGGAGATCACAGGGATTGAACCTGTGACCTTCCGCATGCCAAGCAGATGTTCAAGCGCTAAAAGGGAATTCTCATGGAGGAAAAGTTTATCCATGGCTCCTAGCCATGATCTCTGAGGGGAACCTCCACATTCAGAGGCACTACGCCTCTGAATCCCAGAGCCCAGAGGCAACCTCAGGGAAAGGCCTCAGCCTCTCTCCCTTATTTGTGTGGCTATCCATAGGAACTGACTGGCCACTGTGTGAGACAGGATGCTGGACTAGGTGGACCATTTGTGATCCAGCAGGGCTCTTCTTATGTTCTTAACACTGAGGCTCCTTCCCTGCATTTTACTTAGACCCTTGGGTCTACCTCATCCTTTCAAATGGAGATGTCTGGGACTGAACCTGGGACCTTCTACATAACGAGCACCTTCTCTGCCTCTGCGCCATGGCCCTTCCCAATATAAATTGGGCCCAAGAGCTGAGTTTAACAGGGAACTCTTGGCATACGTTACCAGGGAACCCCATATGTACTGGCTGCTCTGACTCCATCTTGGCTAAATTCAAATTGGTTGCCATTTCAGGAGCTAGCAATTCCATGCTTCAGAGGAGGTGAGCTCAGCCTCTCCTCAGGCTATGCTAACAGGTGGCCAAAACTTTTGGCGGGAAACTGATTCACTGAAGGGCCATCTACATACCTACCCATTGCCACAGGGGCTTGCGCCCACCTAGACCAATCTGTGCCACTTCATCAGCAAGCACAAATCTTCCTAAGTACAAAATCTAATTACTATCAAGTAACCTGGTGAGTTTGGCTGCTGTTACTGACCTTGCCTAAATGTCTCCTCCCAATCTGCCTCAGGCATGGGTGAAGCTTCCACCCTGCCAGCCCTTTCATCTGCTCTGCTTGGATACAATCACCTTTTGCTAACTTTATGGGAAACCCCTCTTCCTAACTCAAAGTAAAAAACCCCACATATTCTCATCCAGGACTCACCCTGAACTCCTGGACCTCACAATTATTTCTTCGATATTCAGTTTGGCACAGTGGTGCCAGGTTCAGTCCCCAGCACCTCCAGCTATCACTGCCAACTTTGAGGGGGGAGATTCCTGGAGATTTGGGGAGGGTACCTGGGAAGGTTTGTTGTAAGAAAAAAAAAATGAGACCTGTGGCGTCGTGGGTCAGCCATGGCTCAGCAATAGCGAGGACCTCTCAGGAGAAGGATCTTGACTATCCCCCCTCGTAAGTTCTTTCAGAGCTGTTCTCTCACGAGCAGTCCTCGAAAGAGCTCTCTCAGCCCCACCTGCCTCACAGGGTATCTGTTGTGGGGAGAGGAAGGGAAAGCAAATGTAAGCCGCTCTGAGACTCCAAGTGAAGGGCGGGGTGTAAATCCAATCTCTTCTCTCTTTCTTCTCTTTTGTGTGGACTCCTATAACGATCACTGTTCTGCCAGCCAAAATTGTGCGGTCTCACTCTTACCCCTCGACTGACTCAGAGGCTGCCTGTAATGATTTCAGGTTTTGGTGTGTGTGTTTCTTTAAATGTTTAATGTGACTGCAGTAATATAAGGAGAGTGATAGAGAGAGACAAGTGTGATGTGATTGACTGATGACTGAGAGTGTGGGAGGAGGGGTGTCTATGAGGTGATTCTGTGTTCTGGAAGAGGGGAGTGTGGAGAATTTTTGTGGGAGTCTGTATGACAGAGGAAGCAGTTGGAGGTTAGTTTAGCCTGTGTGGCTGTATGAGCAAGAGAGTTGAGCCTGTGTGGCTATATATGAGAAAGAGATTAGCCTGTCAGAGTTGAGTTTTGGTGTTTGAGAGACTGTGTGTGATGTCAAGCTTTGTCAGTTATATTTTCTTTCTTCAACAACAGTTCAAAAAATACCCAGAAACCTATTTTGTTCTTTTATAAATAAATCATTATTTGTTTTAAACTTATCCCAGCAATCAGAACAGTCCTTACTCGGGGCCACACAGTCCTCTGAAGCGCCCAGACACTGGGTCATTCTACCAAAATAGAGAGATTTGGAATTTTTAATTCCTGGTGGCAGCAGAAATCTACTAAGTTCAAGTACACAGAGTGTTTTAAAGGAGAAACAGTCTCCCCAATAAGCGAGGACGTCACACTGCCCATTCCATTCTTCTCTTCTGGAACCAGCAAACCTTCTTACTATGTCCTTGGTACCTTTGGAAGTTCTGCCCAGAGTCCCCTACACTGAATTTCTGGATCATCTGAACAGACAACATGCTGTACCCAGCTCAGCAGACCAAAGATAGGTAAACTCCTTATCTGTTCACTCCTTTTCTCTTAAAACCTCTCATTTCTCCTTCCTTAAATCTTCCCCTCTCCCATCTCCCTCCACTGCTCCTCGTGGCCATTCTCGAGCACAGAATTCCCATTCAACCAGAAGCTTGGCTCGGTTATATTTTCTCTTTTTCCCCTCTTGTGTAACTCTTAATATGCACTAGAAAAGAGCAGAGTCCAGTAGCAACTTAACTAACAAAATTTGTGGCGGGGTAGGAGCTTTCACTTCTTCAGATATTGCTAGAATGTGAGTCCATCTATCCTGTATATTGAAAAGTGGAGGGATTTCAGATGCCAAATGACATTAGCAGGCAAATGACAACAGCAGGCGTGATTGGACTAGGTGTGATATGCAGAGGGGTAGTAGGCATGGAGAAATCAGCATTGGTAAAAAGACAGGAAACCTAGGTCTCGACTTAGTCCAGGAAGATGCGTTGTCTTGAGCTTCATTATCAGTTGCGGTTCAGTGCTCTTCATATGCACGTCCTTCTAAACATAAGCAATTTCACTGTTCTTGTGCTTGAGTACCTTTTCAGTTGCTGCACCTCTATATTTCCCCTCAATAAATTTTAAACCTTGCTTTGGAAAAGATCTGGTTGTTTCCTAGTTACTGGTAGACTACTAGAGAAACTTTGAGCTTCCTGCACTCTATCCAGGTATAGATCCTTAAATCACATGATCTGCTTCCCCCTAATTGGCAAGTGTGTCAGTTTGCCAAGTTAGCCAGGCCGTGGAAGTGGGAAGAAGTTTCCCCTTGACACTGAGTCGAATGCCCCCAAATTGGTTCCAGATGAGTGTCCTGAAACATGTTAGAGAGTCCACACTTGTCCAAGAATATCCGAGAAAGGGGGCACACATGGTAACACATCTGCTTCACAGGAATGGGGGGGGGGCAGCATGTTGTATCTGAGTTCCAAAGGTACCTGCAGGCTCAAAAAGGTCGAGGACCCAGGGTTTATGCCAGTCAGAGAATTGGGCTTTTCTCAATGCAAGGTTCTGGTTGCTAAAAGAACAGAATTATTACTATCCCTTTGTTTTAAAGCATGGGCAATGTACACCAGCTGGTGCAACAGAAAACCTTGTCAGAGGAAACAGGGACCAGTGTTAAAACTATGTTGTCTGCCTGAAAGGGAAGGAAGAAATTAGTCCTTATGGTTGTTGTTGTTTTAACCACAAACACCTTAAAGACTAACAGAACTCAGCTTCAAACCCCTGCTCCGGCACAAAGGTCACTGGATGACCTGAGGCTAGTCAGTCTTCCCAACCTAACCAGCCCCGTAGCTAGGGACTTTTTTGGGAGGGGGCCTTGGGGGGAGGCCCACCAGGCAATTAAAACAAAGTTAATTAAATTAACTTTGACTTAATTGGTGGAACTTCTTAGAACTCCTAAGGTAGCCCTGTACCCACCCACCCCGGCTCCATCGCAAGGGTGTGTGTGTAATGCCCAGTGGCCACAGCTTCCCTCTTCCCCCCCCCCTTCAGCAAGGGGGAGGCCTTCCCTGCAAACTGCCCGTCTCCTTCCCTCCCCCTGAGGAGCCCCAGTTCCTCTTCCCATGGTGTGGCACCAGGGGCAGCCTCATTTCCAGGGCTGGGAGAGGCGAGGCGTGCTGGCCATAGAGGTGCCACGCGCGGGCTCGTTGGCGCAACGGAGCACAGCCAGGCACACCTGGGCTGGGGCCAGAGGAGGCGGCCACCTGCCTCCTTGGCCTTGCCGGGCTCACCTGCTGCTGGTGGGCGACACAGTGAGCGTCTGCTGGAAGCCCGAGATGGAGGTTTCTCCCCCCATATGCCATTCAGGATTGCTGCCTGCCCGGGCCCCTCTCTAAGCCCAGCCTCGCCACCGCTGCTGCTTGTGCCGCCCTCGTCCTCCCTGCCGACAGGCAATGGGGGTGAGGTGGCCTGGGGGTGAGGGGCCCATAAAAGCCACTAGGGGGCCGGCCCCTATGGCCCCCGAGGTAGCTACAGGCCTGAGCCTAACCTGCCTCACAGAGTTGCTGTAAGGGTTAAAATGGAGAGAACAATGTACCTTGCCCTGAGGAAAGCGGGGGTTTAAAATACGTAGATAGCCTGAGGGACCTTCCCAATTAAAACATTATGGGGGGATTGGGACTAAGCAGCATGCAACGCCTCAGGTTGTCACTTCCAGGCACGTGATCGGAAGTGGCATCATTCTCTTTCCTTCCTGGTGATAACGGAGATGCACTGAAAGAATCCTCACTCACCCAGTGATGTCGCATTCCCATAATTTTCTTGTAGCACTTCTCTGTACACAGTTCTCTGGCCCGGATCCAGCAGGGCCCATTCGCCCTCAGTGAAGTGGACTGCGAGCTCAAAGTCCACTGATCCCTGGAAGGAGAAGAAACACCCTGGAAATAGGGCCATTCGCAAAGCGTCGGTCCAACATAGTACCTGAGACAGTGGACTCGGTCTGTGGGAGGGTTATCTCCCGCTCCATCTGCCAAAAATCCCACGTTCAGTCCCCAGCACCTCCAGCTATCGCTGCCAACTTTGAGGGGGGAGACTCCTGGAGATTTGGGGAGGGTACCTAGGAAGGTTTGTTGTAAGAAAAAAAACCTGAGACCTGTGGCGTCGTGGGTCAACCACGGCTCAGCAATAGCAAGGACTTCTCAGGAGAAGGACCTTGAATCTCCCCCCGCTGCCACACACGGGCAGAAAAAGAACCTTGGAACAGATTAGAGTCCGTGCTTCTAACTACTACACCAAACTGTACCTTAAGGAGTCTCAAAGTAGCTTACAATCACATTCCCCTCCTCTCCCCACAACAGGCACCATGTGGGGTGGGTGGGGCTGAGAGAGTTTGGAGAGAACTGGGACTGGCCCAAGGTCACCCAGCAGGCTTCATGTGGAGGAGGACTGGGGAATCAAGCCCTGGAGAGCCGCTGCCAGTCTGAGTAGACTATACTGACTTTGATGGACCAAGAGTCTGATTCGGTATCAGGCAGCTTCATGTGCGATGGCCACGGCCACTACATCACACTGGCTCTCATTGGGGACCCACTTGCAGAAGCTTTGAGGCTCACTTTTGGGTCCCGACCCACAGACTGGAAAAACACTGCCCTAACACACATGAAAGTACAAAGGAGGAGAGGAGGAGAGGAGACTGGATTTATACCCACAGCCCTTCACTTGGAGTCTCAGAGCGGCTTACAAACTCTTCCCTTCCCCTCCCCACAACAGACACCCTGTGAGGTGGGTGGGGCTGAGAGAACTCTGACACAAACTGCT